TGCATTGAGAAGTCATATTGTATATTGTGTGCTTGTAAACAAGTGCTACGAGGTAAGTTGTGTGTTGATAGGTGAAAGCATGTTAGTGTGTTTAATTACGCTTATGTACTCAGCTTTGTTAACTGTGTGTTTATTGGCCTTGTCTTTACCTTGGGCCTAGGATGACCCATTTTTAATGGAGAGTAGTGGAAACAAGTAGAGAGAAGCTTTTCAGATGATTAAGCATATGCATGAAGGGCATGAGTGAAGAGCTATGAGTGAAGAGCGAATCATTCTAGTTTCCATAAGTTTATGATATGTTTATTGCTTTGATATTTTATTATATTATGTCTGTCTGATTAATGCAAAGATTTTTAAAGTTAGTTCGGTTTTTTTTTCCTTATGACCTACAATGGTTCCAAGTTGTAGGTAGACTTGTTTTACTTTGGTTTGACTTTACTTTCGTTGGTTGACTTTTGTCGTTTTTAATGTTTTTAAGGATAGTCTTCCGCTGTGTGTCTTTGATAGTTGTCTTAGTCGTTTTCACGGTGGCGGTAATGTCTTAGATCTTCCTATTTTGAGTTTTAAACAGAGAAAAACATGTATTTTAAAAGAAAGGAATTTCTAGGGTGTTACACGAGCCACCACCGGACACGGCCCGACCCGGCACGTTGCCCACCTCTAATTATTACGCTCCTAGACTAGGCGTGGCTTATGCTCATAATCTAACCTTTGAGGCTAGAAAAGGAGCCTATCCTTGCTAAGTTGATATTTTGAAGGCTAGAAAAGGAGTCAACCTTGCTAAATTGATATTTATATCGTGACAAATCTAACAACATCTCACATATTTTTCATTAGGTAAAAACATGGTTAACGGAAAAGAACGTATGTTTTTTTAAGGAATTAAATATATGTAATTAAATGAGTTTATTTTTAAATAGGCGGCCTATTCTGATTGACCGAACTGAACTTATTGGAACTAAACTTATTGGAGCTGAACTGAATTGAACTGAACTGAATATTTTATGAGAGAAGGAAATTAAGAACTGAATTGAACAGAACATAATCAGAAGAGAACAGGCCCATAGTCTACAATTTTTGAAATTAAAAAACAACACTAATGGTCCGTTCTGATTGACTGAACTAAGCTGAGCTAATCTGAATTGAATTTAATGGAAATGAACTGAACAAAACATTTTATAAGAGACAGAAATTACGAACTGAACTTAACTTATTGGAGCCGAACTGAACTTAACTTACTTAAGTCACTTAAGTAAAATTTTTGTATGTAGGTGCAAATTTGTATATGCATCTCCATAAGCAATTATGGCTTGATGAGCCTAATTGTTGATGAACTTGACGGTGATGATGATGATGATCGATGTTGGTCATTGTTGGACTCCCTTTTTTCCTTTGACCTTTGTCCTCCACAACCTACGGCTACGTGTCACGTGCCGACTGCTTTGCCCTAGTCACGCACCGTGCGCCACCCGCTTACAGTCCATCGTAAGCCGAGTCAGGCTTTCTCCTTGGCACTAACTCCTTGTGCCCACGTAGCACAACTCCTTGTGTTGTTAGTATAAGTTTGCTAGCACGATCCCTTTATACTAACAAGTCCCCTTAGTTGAACTAAGCACTCACCCTTAGTGCCTTAGTCCGAATTTACGACTAAGTGTCGTAGACAATTGAGCACCCAAGCTATCACCCTTGCTGGTATGTCCGATCACTCACTTGGCACCCTCGTGCCTTAGTTTTCCTCACACTCTCTAAGTGTTGGAAGGAAAGGATGAGGGATGTGAATTGCCTGATGTACTCCTTGATTGTGCTAGTGTGCTTTAAGTCACGTAGCTTCATCATGGAGACCTTCTTGGCATTCTCCGGGTAGAACTGACGCTTGAAATCTTTCTTGAACTCGTCCCATGTGCTGATGGAACAAGTCCCCTTCTTGATGTCCAACTCTCGACGCCTCCACCAAAGGACAACATCCTCGCCCAAGTACATTGTGGCGGTATTGATCTTTGATGCATCGTCATCCATCTTCATTGCGTCGAAGTACCTCTCGACGCCCCATAGGAAGTTGTCTATTTCTCGAGCGTCTCGCTTCCCATGGTATTTTTGTGGCTTTGGGACCTCCATCTTTGGCCCCTGTTGGATAGTGACACTCCCGGTCACTGCTGCCTTCTTACATAAAATGACATCCTCCTTCACCGACTCCACCTCAGCTCGGATGTCCCTTAGTTGCCCAAGCAACTCTTCTTTGAGTTTCGCGACCTCTTCGCGAATTGTTGCCAACGCGCTATTGACGAGCCCAAGAGTCTCGTCCCTCAAATCTTGGGTAGCAGTGTGTGCGGCCTCCACTTTTCCTTCGAGCCCCTCCACGGAGTCCGAGAGTTGTGTGATATCATCGTGCATGTCCGCCACAGTACACTCTACCCTCATGAGGCGGGGTTCCAACTCAGAGGTCAAGGTTCTGGGCACCGATGGATCCCTCGATGGGTCCCTCGTTCCCTTCTTCTTGGACCTCCTTGTTGTCTCCTCTTCCCCTTGAAAAACTTGGCTCGCCGGAACTTCTTTGTCGCCAGCCATACTTATTTCCACAATAAGAATGAAGCGACTTACCTTGTTGCCTAGCTACCGTCCTTTCGTAGCTCCAACAGCAACGCCTCGAATTTACGATGCCGATCCCACACGAAAATCGTAGCCTTGCTCTGATACCACCTGTCACGTGTCGACTGCTTTGCCCTAGTCACGCACCGTGCGCCACCCGCTTACAGTCCGTCGTAAGCCGAGTCAGGCTTTCTCCTTGACACTAACTCCTTGTGCCCACGTAGCACAACTCCTTGTGCTGTTAGTATAAGTTTGCTAGTACGATCCCTTTATGCTAACAAGTCCCCTTTAGTTGAACTAAGCACTCACCCTTAGTGCCTTAGTCCGAATTTACGACTAAGTGTCGTAGACAATTGAGCACCCAAGCTATCACCCTTGCTGGTATGCCCGATCACTCACTTGGCACCCTCGTGCCTTAGTTTTCCTCACACTCTCTAAGTGTTGGAAAGAAAGAATTGAGTTGCAAGAGAACACAAGTGCTTAAGAAAGGATTTTTGTATTGCTTTCAACTTGAATGTACAAATGATGCCTTGGAGCCTATTTATAGTGCTCCACCCTACTTACTCTCTTTCTCTAGAACGTTCCTAACCTCCTCAAATGGAGGGTTCTAGACTACAACAATCTAGAGTGTTCCCACCTCCTTAGGAACTACATACATGGAGGTTTCTACAAGCTTCCTACCTAGAATGCTAAGGACTAACCTAGAACATTCTAGAACTTTACATTCAAAATGTACATACATAGAAGGCCCTAGAGACTTCTAAGATACACTGGATGAACCTTGAATATTCTAGAGACATCCTCTCTAGAATACTCCTCCAAAAGAACTCCGTAGATGGCTCCGGAACCTTCTAGAAGCTTCCCACGTTTCCCGGGCTACCTGCTGCACAAACTTGTATTTCGGGACCTTGTCTCGGAAAACTGACACCACCATCGTCTTCCTTGGCCCAAAATACGGTGGACCCCCAAATTTGGGCCCATTTGGACTTCATTTGGGTCTCCCAACGACCCATTATTGTGTTACTGTCAAGTGGGTGTTCACTAGGATTCTAAGCAAGGTGCAATATAAAGCTCTTTAGGGGGAAGTGCTTACCTGAGCACCAAGGCAAGCCCCTAGCCCCGATTGTTGCCTTGCTGCCTAGTGACCCTCTTGACGCCCATCCTTGGTGTGGGAGATGACCCGTGACATACGGCTCCCTTATCTTCTAACTCTCCTCATCATTCATCAAGCCCGTCTTATGTAATTTGGGCTCTTAGGCCCCTTACTCGTACATTCTTCGTTATTGATATTGTGATCCTTACTCGTACATTCTTCGTTATTTTTTTCTTCATTATTTCCTAATATTTAATTTTTTTTTTGACAAAACCTAATATTTAATTCACCAACAAACTACATCATCTATTCACTTTATATGAATCTTCTAAAACGCCGTGTAAAATGAATATATTGTCATTTTAAAATAACTAAAAGGAATTTTCGTAAATGACTCATTGATAAGAATCAAACTAAACCTCACTTAACTATGTTTTGCTTATTTATAGGTTAGTTTCGTATTAAGGTCAAGTTTCATTGGTGTCATGTCAAGTCATAGGTCATATTCGAGTTGAGTCGTGTAAAATCTATCAATCTAACATTCAGATCGGGTTCAGGTTGAGTCTAATTTGATCTGTCAAGTTAGGTTATTTAATCCTTTGATATTTAGTAAAATTTGGTTCAAGTAAGATAATGATAAGTTTGAATAAATTTCAAGTGGAAACATTTTTGGATTTGGGAAGGGATGGATTATTTATTGGTTAGACCAATACAATTACACTTTTCATGATTTGACCAACTATTAATAACTTATCATAAACTAATAGTGAAGAAAAGGTTTATGATTGCAACAAAATGCATTATTATGTTATTAAACCAAACTCAAAAAATAAAACAATTGTACAACTAATAAGGGTTTGTTCACATTTACAATTCCAATTTAGTTCAGCTCCAATCAGTTCAGTTCAGTTCAGCTCCTAATTTCCCTCTCTCATAAAATATTCAGGTCAGCTCAGTTCAGTTCAGTCCCAATCAACAATTTTGTGCTATACCATTTTAATTAAATTAAACTCAGCTTAATATTGATTTAAGTGAAACATTCTCAACTCAATTTCCAGACTAGAACATTTTTTTTAAAACCTTTATATACTAGAAATAATTTACAATATCCACTCAAACTATAAATAGTGTATAAGATTAACACTATCTCTAAATAGTCTCCTCCCACGTCTCTCCCCATCACACAACCACACCATCGGCCACCGCCGGTCACCGCCCACAAGGGCCACCACAACAGCTAACTCACACTCCTTTCACTTTCATTTATTCTCTTAAATCAAATTCATACTCTTATTAATTAATTCAAAATTACAACCATATAAACAAAAACAAACATACAAATTATCTACCCCATGTGGGAGTTAGATATCTTCAACATAACTTTCCAACCTGTCACTCTAGATTTCGCTCTTTCAAATCCAAAAAATAAAAACAACAATATATAAAAATAATAAAAATAAAAAGTATAAAAATAATACAAGTACCATTGATTATTTATAACCCCACCAAAATTATCTGGAACCCATATTTTTAGCAGAACCAGTTTCTAGTACCAGCTTAATCACCAGCTCAAAAAAAAAAAAAAAAAAGTTCATAAAAAAAAAATTCAAAATTTAGAGAGAGAAAAACAAACAAGTTCAATGAAGTCAAGCTTTGTAGCAATGGCGCTAACATGCGCCTTGGTGATGGTTATGGTGCCTCATGTATTTGCTAAACGTTACATTGTTGGAGGAAATAAGGGTTGGACTTCCAATGTTAATTACACTGTTTGGGCTAGTGATAAGCACTTTTACCTTGGAGATTGGCTATGTAATTTCTCTCTCCTCTTTCTCTCTCTACTTTTTTGTGTTTAGATCTGTTGTTTGGATCTTATTTTGTGTTCATTTCAGTGTTTTTGTTGTTTAGATCTTAATTATGTTGCTTTTTTCAAGTTTCATATTGGGTTGTTATTTATTTATTTATTTGAATTTGAAAGAAATTTCTAATTTTAGCAAAATCGATGAATACCCTATTAATAGTTTAGTTAAATGAATGGATTTTTGGGTTAATTAGTGTTGGGTGTCAAAATAATTTAAGTGGCATTTGGAGTTCTGTGAACAAAACATGAAATTTTAAGATTCTTGTTTCGTAGTAATTTTTAGTTTTGATATCTATGAGACTATGACTAATGATGGTCAAAGTTAACAATGTTTGATTACAAGTCATTTTCATGTGGGATTAGTAATTAAATTGGTTTTGTACGATTAATCATATAATTAATGTCCATGATATGCTACATTGTCTTTTTTTTTTTTTTTTTTTTTTGACAAAGTGCTACATTGTCTTAAGGCACAATTTAATGTACACTAGTGAGTAGATTACCCATTCTTATGTGGGTAGATTATGCAATGGGTGAAAGTTTAATTTGTTTCGATGTTTGTTTCATGTGGGTAGATTATGCAATGGCTAAATTTAGCAAATTAGCAATATCGGATGTGCCTTTGAGGCTGCTAGTTGTAGAAATGAGCCATTGACAATTTGTTTGCGAGATTATGCAATGGGTAAATGTAGCAATATTGGATGTGCCTTTGAGGTTGCTAGTTGTGGAAATGAGCCATTGCCTTTTTTTTATTTTGAGATTAGGGAGTCGGAGATTTAAGAAGAAAATGTAGCTAGATTAGCTACACTAGACGAATTGTTTCATGCTAGATTGCTAGCTGATATTAGGATATGTCACTTCTGTGGTAAGGAGTTTGGGAGTTCAAATTTTTCAGCAGTGAGATTCACCTTAAAGAGACAATACCAGAATAGACATATAGCTGATCTGCTTGATCATCCAAATTACACGCGCTTAATTGGAGTTAAAATTGATGGAAGAGAGATACAATACAGGCAAACCGTGTTGTCGAGGTCTTATGATCTGTCAAAAGCCACAATATCTAATGGTCTTAAGGTAGCTAATAATCTTATGCCAAAAGTATTATTATTGAGCAGATGAGGATTTGGTGGGAACATTGTGTGGGTTAGAAAATACAGCCTGTAATAATCAATATGTATTGCCAATTTCCGTGGCGTGGTCCTGATTTGTGTTAATGAAGTATAAGAAAACTGATATCTGAACTCAGAAAGATTCACATTCAAGACTAGTGTAGCAGACAGATTTTTACAGACTTAGTTATTTTAAAATGTTTTAACTTATTTTATAATGGATTGTAAAATCTCTTTGACTGAGAACCTAATCGTCTTCATATCCAAGTCATCTATCTAATTTTTAAATTCCACTGAGGTTATCAGAATAAGAAGTTTAATACTAATTATTTGAATCAAAGCTGATCACATATGCTGGATCTTGTCTCCCATGTGAGATATCTGAAATGCCTTAACTTCTTATTTTTATCTCTTTGATGTATTAAATCTTGGAGGCTGGTTTCCGTTTTGATGACTTGGAAAGTCGAGAACTTGAGGAATCTCATATAAACTTCTTCTTTAGATGATGATCAAGCTCTCCTCTTTTATGTATCCTTTAATATTCTAGATGGCTTTCTTTATGTTTAAAAGTAATCCTCTCTAAGTAAATCCTAATAAGTTTATAAGGGGGGTCGAGTTATCGAGGCTCTTGTGAAACTAAATAGCTTTAGTGATTTAGCTGGGACCTACAAAGTCATTTGAGTGTTTTTTGAGGTATATTGGTATAAGGACCGAGGCTGCATATCATCATTTTTCAAGTCCTCATACTTTTTGAAACTTTTTCCTTTGAAGTTCATACCTCTTACTTTCTTTCTTTACGTTTTTAATTCCAACTCTCAACAAAAAGTATTATGGAGTATAATGCATATCAAACAATGATAAAAATATAGTACTTTAGAATCTTTTTAAATTGTGAATCTCCCAATATATTGTTTGGAGTTTTTTTTATGATCTAAATTATTCGTCAAATTTATAGCAGTCATTTCTAATTTAGTTTATTATCATTAATGTACTGTATCTATCATTATTATTTACCTTAAACCCATATACGAGTATATAATTGTTTATAATACTTGATGGCAAGTCAGACTATGGATTTTTGAAACAAAAAAATATGATTATGGTTTTGCCTTTTTTGTCTTAACATAGCTTGTTAATTATGTGGTGGTTCCACTCCTTATAACCCGACTGTTTTGAGTTTCATTTCCCTGTTTTCCTTGTTTTTGTGTCACTTAGTGCATTAGTGTGTAAAAGCTGTCATTAACTTGTTTCTTCTTTCCACTATTTAGTTTTTGTGTATGACCGGAACCAGATGGATGTCCTAGAGGTGAACAAAACTAACTATGAAAACTGCAACACCGATCACCCTGTGGCAAACTGGACTACAGGAGCTGGAAGGGATGTGGTTCCACTTAATGTAACCAGACACCGCTACTTCGTCAGTGGAAAAGGATTCTGTTTTGGTGGCATGAAGTTGTCTGTCAGAATCGAGAAGCCCCCTCCACCACCTAAAGCAGCCCCCGTTAAGAGTGATGCTCCAAGGATGTCTTACAGATCCCACTTTGTTTTGCCTCTAGTATTTGCCATTGGTGCTGTTTGGGATTCCTTCCTCCGGGTCATGGGTTAATCATATCATGTTGCCAAATGTCGTGCGTTTACTCGTAGAAGATAACTTATTTGATCGAACTAAAGAATTTTTTTTTCTTTATAAGTATCTTAAATCTCATTTCCATTTAGCCTTTCTGTTAGTGTTTGGAAGATTGCTGTATTTCTTGATTTATTGAAACCGAATTTGTTTGTGAAATTAAGAAAATTGCCCAAGGCAGTTTGATTACATTATCTTTATGAGAAATTTTACATGTTGACTTTGTATTTGTTTTTTTTATTAATGATCATGGTGTGTCACCATTTACATATATTCATAATTATTCAAACAACAAGAATATAGTATGACACCGATTAAGTAAAATTGGAGCAATCAACTGCATATATTAAGGTAATTGGAAACTAAACGGTTGGTGCCCGGGAATTTTGCGGTTGCCATTGATAAATCTTGCCGCATGGTCCCCCTTAAGCTAATGGAGGATCTAATAATTCCGTATCAATTAATAGCATTGTATGACTTCAATGTATGGACATAAAAGTCGATTTCTTTTGAATTAACCCTAGTATTTTACTATTGTGGAATAATCCTAACTTTGAGATGTGTTTTCTTCTAAAAGTCTCAACCGGTCAACAAAAGTCAATAACCTATTATAATAGGTTATCTAGCACGTGGAAGCTGTAGTTGATCCAAAAATTACAAAAAAAAAAAAAAAAAAAAAAAAAAAAAAAAAAAAAAAACCCTCCTTATCCTTCCCCCAAGAAAACTTGTGAAACGCTAAACATCGCCCGCAATTTACCATATAAAGCCCACAAATATGTTATGATTTGACCATTATGCCCTTTTTCTAAAATTGAGATAATCTCGGTGTAAAAAATGTGGAGCCGTACTGGCTCGCCGGGGGAGACCGGATGGCAGGCCGGAGATGCGGGGGACGCCGGAGGTACGTCGTCGTCGACGGAAAACGAGGTAAGTCACCGCTAAAATTCACGGTTTACCGTCGTAGTGGTTCCGGCGCCTAGGGTGGACGCCCAAACCGTAGCCTGGACGTCCAAGCCGGACGCCAGAACCACCGGAGTGGCGTCCAGCCCAGACGCCCAGACCACCAGACTGGCGTCCTGGGCAGACGCCACTCCACTGGGTGAGGCGGCCCTGCCAGGCGCCAGTCCAGTGGCTGTGGCAGCCCTGGCAGAAGCCACCTTTAATAATTAATTTTTATTTTTTCCTTTTTGATTTTGTTGTTGTTTTTTATTTAATTTTTTTGTGAAAATAAAAAATAGAAAATGATTTTTTTAAAAAATTCGAAATGGGTTTTTTGTAAATTAAATTTGAAAATTCGAAATAGGTTTTTTTTAAAATTAAATTTGAAAAATTCGAAATGGTATATTTTTTAAATTTAGTTTGAAAATTCGAATTGGGTTTTTATAAAAATTAAGTTTGATTATATATAATTATGTTTTTTTTTGTGTTAATTATGTGGAAATATAGAAATTAAATGTATTATCCGTTAAATGTATTTATTGTAATATATAATTGATGCAGGAATATGGTGGAGACGGAAATGATTACAGTGAGATATTTGGACATGATGGTCCATTCGAAGAAGCTCAACAGGCGATTGATTGGGCAAAACAGGTTGCAATTGCAGCTGGATTTTGCTTGGTAGTAGCAACTCATAAATCTCAACGGATGGTAGAATGGATCGCATTTTGAGATGTGACCGTTATCGCAAAAGAGAAGAAAGAGATTTTCGTACAGCCACTCGGTTTGACACAAAGCGGAAAGGTTGTGGGTGTGAGTTCAGAGTAAAGGTTCGACAACTACGGAGTCGTGACGGTTGGGAAGTGATAGGTTACTCTAAATGGGGGTATCACAACCATGAGATGATAGTATATGAAGAGGGTCATCGACAACTGAGCGGCTTAAGTCCTGCTGCGAAACTAGTTGTGAAAGAAATGAGTGATGCTCAAGTGAAGCCTGCTAAAATATTAGCATCTGTGTTAGAGAAATTTCCAGAAGACCATCCAAACCGAAGACACATCTACAACGTCAGACAGCAACTCAGGTTTGAACGGTCAGAGGGAAGGAACCCTATACAGCAGCTGCTACACCAGGCACAATCACGTGGTTACCTGTTCTGGTTTGATTCTGATGAAGATACAGCGGAGGTGACTCATCTTTTCCTTGTGCATCCTGATTGTGCTGATATGATCAAGTCTTGGCCATTTGTGATTTTGATCGACTCAACGTACAAGACAAACAAGTACAAGTTCCCTCTGGTTGAGATGGTTGGGATGGCTCCAACGAACCAGAACTTTCTGATTGGTCATGCAATCATCAGGGATGAGACGGCTCCAAGTTATTATTGGGTTTTGGAGAAGCTGAGAAACTACATCGGGCCTAATGTTCATCCAGCAGCCATCGTCAGCGACTGTGAGGGAGGTCTCTTTGCCCCCATAGCAGAGCTGTTTCCCGAATCGAACCACTTATTGTGCACATGGCACATCAACAACTGCGTGAAAGTGAAAGCCTACAACCTTTTCAAGAAGAATTTGGAAATGGCAGAGAGATTGGTGAATGGTAAGTGGCGGAAGATCCTACAGGCTACCATAGAGGAAGCGTATGAGCGAGCATTGGCTAACTTCAGGGATTCGTACCAGTGGTGTCCGGCACTGGTGGACTATGTGATGCATCAATGGGTCCCTCACAGGGAAAAGTTTGTCAAATATTGGACAAACCAGGTACTTCATTTTGGGAACACTACAACATGTAGAGTTGAGAGCGCTCATAGAGCTACCAAGGACTGGATTGATTCATCGACCGCTGCTTTGGATACACTGTTCGCTAGACTGAACAAGTCAATTGAAACTCAGAAGAACGACATCAGGAACTCTCTAGAGGACTCCAGACGACGACATGGTACGATGTATAGCCATTTTATATTTAAGATTCTCCATGGTCGTGTGTCGCACTACTGCTTGGGGTTGATTCTCACTGAGCTGAACAGGGTGAGGGACTTGGCTGACGAAGTGTATACTCGGTGTGGGTGTACTATTTCAGTAACTCATGGATTACCTTGCGCATGCACCATTCATCACGTTATTACAGAAGAAAGGGCGTCGTTACATGTTGATCAGGTCCATTCATTCTGGAGGACGCTTGTTATTGGTGAGCATGCAGACAATCAAACGGCCGACCGTGAACAGGAAGAGTTGGAGCAGTTCCGTTCGATGTACGACCGAGTGTCCTCCAGCCATCCTTCTATTATTTGTGACGCTACTCATGTGCTTCATGACATGTTCCACCCGTCTAACTTAGATTATGAGGAACCCGAAGGAGTTGACCGTCCTCGAGGTCGACAACGGCGGAACAGGAGTGCGTTTGAGTATATCCGTGGTCTTGGTCGTGGTCGTTCTCGTGGTCGGACATCGTCATCTAGTCGTAGTCAATCTTCATCGTCTGTGAATATGCCCCTGAGAACTGGTACGTTTTGGTTGTTTTTATTGCACATAGTTTTAAAGTGTTACTCCTGTCTTCTTAACTGTCTATAATTAATTATTTGGTGAATAGGAAGAAACTATGTTGATCAGTTTCCGTACAAGGAAAGGATACCTGCGATCATCATGTCGTACTTGGAAGGGTGGAATGATGTAATCGGAGATGGTAACTGCGGATTCCGGGTCGTGGCTGATGTTTTTCAAATGGGCGAAGGCAACTACGGTTTGGTGCGTGAGTTGATGTACAGCGAAATTGCCTCTAACCGAAATGTTTATCGTCATGTGTACCAGGATGACTTGGATGGCGCTCTCCGGCGTATCCGGTGGGGAGGTGGACCTTGCGGCGAAAATCATTATTTTGACGCGCCCCTAGATCTGTTTGCCGTTGCAAACATTTACAAATGCGCAGTCATGCATTTCGGCCTGGGAGTGCATAGTCAAGCTTATTATCCTTGTACCACGGTTCTCCCTTGGCGGTCGCGTGAGACTGTCACCACACCGGTCAGAGAGCTAGCTATTGCGTTTCTTGGGTCGTCATACAGACATTTCATCCGACTAGACATGTCAACCGATTTTCCGGTGCCACCGATTATACCTCGGTGGTACAACATTTGCACAGCGAGCGTAGAGGGTTGGGATGCGCTATATAATGATCGGATCCACGAATGGAACACCCTAGCTGCATTTTAGTTTTTCTTGTTTACATTCTTTATTTGTAATCTTATTTGTACGTTGCTCTTTTAATGAGAACATTAATATTTTATATTGTATTGCTTACTGCATTCTATATGTTGCATGGGTAAGTTGCGCGGATCCACGAACGGTTATATCAAAATTTAAAAACAGCACTGATAATATGTTTAAGTTGGAAGCTAAAAGAACAATCTAAAATGTTACAATTTTACAACATAATGTCCAACATAATGCTCTACAAATAAAATACAATAACCATCAGTAATCCCTCCTCGACGACGACTCCCACTGCGCAAGGTTCTGTTCCAGACTATCAACAACAGCTCTCCCTGTTGCACTCATGCTGTCCTTCTCAAGAGAAAGTTTCTGAACGTCTTGCATTATCTTTCCCATCCACTGCATACAACAAAAAACAGAAGATGAAATACAATAACAACAAATAAAACTTAATTAAAAGACAACGATAAATATAATAAAAGACATACCGCTTCCGTGGCAGTAGGCGGTGGCACATAATCATCATCGCTGTGGTCGAGATCAGCGATCAACCTCGGGTGCGAATACCGGTTGAACCATTCCATGTAGTAATGGTCACACATGGGAGTAACCCAAGAGGGCGGCCGCTGCAACTCCGCTGTCCATAATCGGGCCACCATCGGAAACTGGTCCCACGTCCCGGTCATGATATCCGGCCATTCCACGACGTACTCCCTCGACGATGCAGGTCGGACCGCCTTCATCGGGCACGCCGGGGGAGGAGGGACAACTTGGACAAATCCAAGCTGGCGAAGACAACGCTGAGGCATGTACGCCTCGACGATGTCACGATACTGAATGAGTCCCGTGTACAGGGTCCTGGGTACCCTAACACTAGGGTTCGGGCCGAAAGGCATCCAGTTCACCTGTACAATTACAACATATAAAATTTAATAACATGAATATAATATGTGCAAATAATAAAATGTAGACTCTATAAATAAACGTTACCTCTAAGGGGGACAGCCTGTCCAGCAATAACCGTATCGATCGGAGGCGGTCAACGGACTTCTTCTCCGAGCGCGGACTCCACGCACAAGCAC